CGGGTCAGGCGAGGCGCTGCGAGGATTCTGGAGCGACGGAAAAGAGCTCCTGGCGGGCACCACCACCGTCCAGCTTCTAATTTTAAACTCTTTAGCTCTCAGCGAGCTCTCCGGGAATAATCTTGGTAGCGTCCAAAACCCGGAGAGCGAAGAGACCGTCGAGGTCGAGGGGGGGAAATCTTTCCTCAAGCGCGCTGCAGAGCTCCCCTGCAGCGCTGTCGAAGCGCTGCCCGGAACGCTTCCATACGTGCCTGCGCGCGTGCAGGCACGCGTGGACAGCGCCCCCAAACCAGCTGCCGGATCGCCGGAGTTTCTGCGAGGCCTGTGGACCGCCGTGGAGAAGCCCCTGGCGGGCACCATCACCGCCCGGCTTCTAATCTTGAGCCCTTTAGCTCTCAGCGAGCTCTCCGGCTCTCGATTTATGACGGAGAGCTCTACGAGGTACTAGCTCCACCCCGCGCCGGAATTCCTCTAGCTCATCGATGCCGAACAGCTCTACGAGGTACCAGCTCCATCCCGCGCCGGGATTCCTGTAGCTCATCGACTGGCGCCGGCGGTGAACCGTCAACCTGGTCACCGCCAGGAACCTCGTAGAGCTCCTTTCACGCGTAAGAGTGCTCAGAGTCGAAAGAGAGAGCTTCTGGAAGCATTTCTCGAAAGAGAAAAATTGTTTTTTTTTCCGTGTCGACATGAAGACTGGGCGCCGGCGGTAAACCGTCAACCTTTCTTACCGCCGGGGGACTCGTAGAGCTTCCTGACCAGATATAACGTCGAAAAAAATTGCAGAGAACGAATAGTTTTCAGCCTAAGCGATTTTAGACCTCTCGATGTAACCGCCAAAGGCTCCTGATGCTTCTGGATCGCTTTCTGTGCGCACGAGCTCTGTAGCTCTCCTACAGCCCAAGTTACGTGCGAAAATCGACAGCACCTCTGAAGATCACTCGAACAATGCAAATAGTTTCGCGAATCTAGCTTGAGTATCAGACCAAGTTCAGACCTCTGAATGCAACAGGCGGACGCGTCTGATGTCTCCGAATCGATTCCTGTGATTACCAGCCCCGCAGCCCCCTAACAGCCCGAGTTAAGTGCAGAAAACCAACTGGACCTACGAATAGTTTCGCGAACCTAGCTCGGGCAGCAGACCGAGTTCAGAGCTCTGAACGACAGGCGGACGCGGCTGATGTCTCTGAATCGACTCCAGTGATTACCAGCCCTGCAGCCCCCCTTAGAGCTCGAGTTCAGTGCAGAAAACGGACAGCACCTCTCAAGATGACTCGAAGTATACGAATAGTTTTGCAGACCTAGCTCGGGCAGCACACCGAGTTCTGAGCTCTAGATTTGGCAAGCGGACGCGCCTGATGTCTCCGAATCGGTTCCTGTGATTACGAGCCCTGTAGCCCCCCTACAGCCCGAGTTAAGTGCAAAAAACTAATAGCACCACTCAAGATGACTCGAACAATACAAATAGTTTCGCGGACATAGCTCGGGCAGCAGACCGAGTTCAGACCCCTAGATGGGACAGACGGACGCGCCTGATGATTCTCAATCGATTTCTGTGAGCATGAGCTCTGTAGCTGCCCTACAGCTCGAGTTAAGTACAAAATACAGACAACGCGTATCAAGATGACTCGACAGAGCCGATCCCGCCGCGACGCTTTTTTGCAGAAATATTTACCCGATCGAGCTGATATTAAGATGGCGAGCGGAAATGAAAACGAATATGGTCAGAAAAAATACTAGAGCTCAAACGAATTGTTGAATTTCGAGAACAAAGTTTTCAACCGACCAAAAGTCAGCAAAGGGTCCGTCGAGATTTTCTTGCCAACTAGCTCTCCAGCGCGCCGGAATTACTCTTAAGCTTCCAGCAACTAGCTGAGGGAAGCTCTACGAGTTCAGTATTTTGATAGTGAAACAGAGAGGCCGTCATAGTCGTTTACAGGTGCGAAAAATCTCCTTTCTCAAAATGAATTGTCAAATATCTTTCAAAACCTTGCATTTGGTAGCGTCCAAAACCCGGAGAGCAAAGAGAACACACACCAGAAAGCTGTCCTGGCGAGCCCTCGGACGCTCTCGTGAAGCGATTCTGGGGCTCTGGAGGGCCCTCTACCGCCATCGGAAGCGCTGCCAGGAACGCTTCCACGCGTGCCTGCATGCGTGCAGGCACGCGTGGAAGCTTGCCGGAAGCTCTCCCGGACACGCTGCCGGCCCAGGCGAGATGCTGCGTGGATCGTGGAGCGGCGGAGATGGGCTGCTGGCGGGCACCCCACCGTCCGGCTTCTAATCTTAAGCCCTCTAGCTCTCAGAGAGCTCTCCGGGAAAAACCACCCAAAAGTTATCACTTTGTCCTTTCTGGCCGGGTCGACCAACTAGCTCCACCCCGCGCTGGAATTCCTCTAGCTCATCGATAACGAAAGGCTCTACGAGGTACTTGGCGTCCAAAACCCGGAGAGCGAAGGGAGCCTTAGGAACCGGAAACCGATTCTGAAGAGTTTCTGGGGGGCCCCCCTGCAGCTCTTCTGAAGCACTGCCAGGAACGTTTCCACGCGTCCCTGCACGCGTGCAGGCACGCGTGGAAGCTTGCCAGAAGCTCTCCCGGACCAGCTGCCGGCTCGAACGAATCCTTCCGGGGATTCTGGAGCGGCGGAGATGGGCTGCTGGCGGGCACCACCACCGCCCGACTTCGAATCTTGAACCCTCTAGCTCTCGGAGAGCTCTCCGGGAATGACTTGTAGAGCTTCCCTGAGCTAGCAGCTGGAAGCTTAAGAATAATTCGAACGCACTGGCGGGCTAGTTGGCTCGAAAAATCTCGACGGAACTTTTGCTGACTTTTGCTCGGTTGAAAATTTTGTTTTCGAAATTCATCAATTCGTTAGAGCTCTAGTATTTTGTCCCGTGATATTCGATCTTATTCCCGCTCGCCATCTTGATCTCAGCTCGATCGGGTGAATATTACTATCGAATAGCACTGTGGCGGGATCGGCCGTTTCGAGTCATCTTGATACGCGCTGACGGTTTTCTGAACATAACTCGAGCTTTAGGACAGCTACAGAGCTGGTAAGCACAGCTAATCGATGTAGAATGATTAGGCGCGCTCGCCTGTTGAATCCAGAGGTCTGAACTCGGTCTGTTAGCCAAGCTAGGTCCGCAAAGCTTTGTATTATTCGAGTCATCTTGACAGGAACTCTTGGTTTTTTGTAACTCGTAGAGCTTCCCTTAGCAAGTTAATGCTGGAAGCTTAAGAGTAATTCCGGGGCGCTGGAGAGCTAGTTGGCAAGGAAAATCTTGACGGACCTTTTGGTGACTTTTGGTCGGTTGAAAATTTTGTTCTCGAAATTCAACAATTCGTTTGAGCTCTAGCATTTTTTCCCATGATATTCGATCTTATTCCCGCTCGGCATCTTGATCTCAGCTCGATGGGGTAGCCTTTACTGCCAAAAAGCAGGCAGGCGGGATCGACCGTTTCAAGTCATCTTGACACGCGATGACGGTTATCTGAACATAACTCGAGCTTTAGGACAGCTACAGAGCTGATAAGCACAGGTAATCGATTCAGAATGATCAGGCGCGTTTGTCTGTTGAATCCAGAGGTCTGAACTCGGTCTGCTAGCCGAGCTAGGTCCGCAAGCCTATTCGTATTATTCGAGTCATCTTGACAGACGCTCTCGGTTTTCTGTACTTAACTCGAGCTACAGGACAGCTACAGATCTGATACGTACAGAATCTGATTGAGAATCATCAGTGGCCGTTGTTTGTTGAATCCAGAGCTCTGAACTCGGTGTGCTGCCCGATCTAGAATCGCGAAACTATTCGTATTGTTCGAGTCATCTTGAGAGATGCTGTCGGTTCTCTGCACTTAACTCGGGCTGTAGGGGGGCTGCATGGCTGGTAATCACTGGAATCGATTCAGAGACATCAGGCGCGTCCGCCTTTCGAATCCGGAGCTCCGAACTCTATCTGCTTTCTGAACTAGGTTCGCGAAACTATTCGTATTGTTCGCGTCATCCTGAGAGGTGCTGTCGGTTTCCTGCACTTAACTCGGGCTGTAGGGCGGTTGCAGGGCTGGTAATCACAGGAATCGACGCAGAGACATCAGACGCGTCCGCCTGTCGCAAGCAGAGGTCTCAACTCGGTCTGATACTCGAGCTAGGTTTGCCAAACTATTCGTATTGTTCGAGTCATCTTGAGAGGTGCTGTCGATTTACGCGCGCAACTCGGGCTGTAGGAGAGCTGCAGAGCTTGTACAGAAGAGAATCCAGAAGCATCGGGGGCGTTCGGCTGTTGCATCCGAGAGGTTTGAAATTGCTTGGGCTGAAACTAGTTTTTCTGTGTATTTTTTTCAACATTATATGTTGTCAGGAAGCTCTACGAGTCTCCCGGCGGTAACAAAGGTTGACGGTTTACCGCCGGCGCCCAGTACTTAACTCGAGCTGTAGGACAGCTACAGAGCTGATATTTACAGAAACCGATTCAGAATCATCAGTTGCGTTTGTCTATTGAATCCAGAGCTCTGAACTCGGTCTGCTGCCCGATCTAGAATCGCGAAACTATTCGTATTGGTCGAGTCATCTTGAGAAGTGCTCTCGGTTTTCTTCACTCAACTCGCGCTGAGGGGGGCTACAGTGCAGGTGGTCACAGGAATCGATTTAAAGACATGAGGCGCGTCCGCCTGTCGAATCCAGAGCTCGGAACTCGGTCTGCTGCCCGAATTAGGCTTGCGAAACTATTGTATTGTTCGAGTCATCCTGAGAGGTGCTGTCGGTTTTCTGCACTTAACTCGGGCTGTAGGGGGGCTGCAGGGCTGGTAATGACAGGAGTCGATTCACAGACATCAGACGCGTCCGCCTGTCGCATTCAGAAGTCAAAAAAATAATCACTATGAGTCGGAATGTTTGTAACTGCTGTCGGTTTTCTCAACTTAAGTCGAGCTAGGGAGCTCTACAAGTCTCCCGGCTCAAGCTCCACGCGGCTCAAGGCTCACGTACCCGTACGCTTTCGACTGGCTGGGGAACCTCCTCGAAGTCGTGCGGTAGTGGTTAGCGGAGTTTTCTGTGCACACGGACCGTACTATCATCAGTGTGTGCCTGGGTCGCCGGAGCCTCAAGGCGCCTCTACTGTGCCAGCGCCTGTATCCTCAATTCATTGCAGTTTTTGCTTGGGATCGATTCCCCGGCCAGTGGGTCGTCTTGTTCTTGTCCAGAGTTGTGGCAGTCTATTCTTTAATCGCCGGCGTGTGGTTTATCTATTTCTCCTTCCTTTCTCATCACGTCTTCTTCGCCTTGTGTGGAGTCTCATCGCTATTCTTGCCACTTCGATCTTTGCGTCTGTGATCATATTTCTCGATGCCGCATGTCCGGAGCCGATATCGTGCATATATGCGTCAACTGCGAGGGTTCAAAGGTGGATTTTGCTCGGCGCCCAGGCCCATCCCTCCACCACCCGGTCTGGAGCCCAGAGTGCAGCTCACATTGCAAAAGTTGGCGCCAACCACCACCGACATTTTGCTGGACTATCTCGCGCCGAAGGCCAGGAAGAGTATATCCACGCGTGTTGCTTCTGCCACAGTTGTTTCTGGAGACGCGACAAAGCTTTCCGTCCGCACGAGAGTTGCAGCCGTCTCAATTCAGGGTCGTACTTTGGCTTCTTGGGGATCAGATGGATTGCAACTGTCGGCGACTAATGATATTGCTGGCATTTCACCACACATTCCTGCGGAGGTGTCTCGTGTCAGTTCTCGGAGGCCCCCGGAGCCCAAAAACGAGGACTCTAACAAAGATCATGATTGTCAAGTTGTTTCTTTGGGATCAGATGGATTGCAAGTTGTGGCGGCGGACAGTATTGTTGGCGTTTCATCGCACTTTCCTGTTGATTCTGCATCTTCCTCTCCTCGGAGGCCCCCGGAGCCCAAAAATGAGGACTCTAACAAAGATCATGATTGTCAAGTGGCTTCTTTGGGATCAGATGGATTGCAAGTTGTGGCGGCGGACAGTATTGTTGGCGTTTCATCGCACTTTCCTGTTGATTCTGCGTCTTCCTCTTCTCGGAGGCCCCCGGAGCCCCAAAACGAGGACTCTAACAAAGATCATGATTGTCAAGTGGCTTCTTTGGGATCAGATGGATTGCAAGCGTCGGCGATGGACGATATGGTTGGCATTTCTTCGCACATTCCTGTTCATTCTGCTTCTTCCTATTCTCGCAGTCCCCCGGAGCTCAACAAAGACAAGGAGGAGGAGGAGGAGGATAACAATAACAATAATCCTATTTGTGAAGCTGTTGCTCCCGTTATGCATCATCTTGTCGTTCCTGGGAGCTTACGTATGAAAAGGTATTGCTTCAAAAGGTATGTTCCGGCGGGCGAGCAGGGTGAGAAAGTTGCGGCTGCAATCAAAGCCGCCTTGGCTCACGTAGACGTTCCCTGGGAAACGTTTAGCGATGATGCACGCAAGAGTGAGCATTTCAACAGAATGAGTGATGATATGCTCTCAGGGATCAGTGGCTCTCTGGATTTCATCTATGCTCATCATGCTGCGCGGGATGAACAATGGAATGCGTTTACTGCGTGGCTAAGGGATCCTGACCGCCTCACAAGGATTGAGCGGCAAAACTGTATAGGTCATCTTGCTGTGGTTCATTGGGTCAGGACGGCACGGACAGGGTCAGACAAATATGAACGGAAATTGCGTATCGAAGCGTGGAACGATTTCATCTTCCAGGCGTTTCCTCACACTCCCAGCCTCTAGTCTTCTCTATCTGTGTGGTGTGATGTCTTTCTTGGTCTCAATCGTTGGACATGGCGTGTTTCGTGGGCTCCCCGCACGTTGTCTGATACTGGGCCAAGCGAACGTTTCCCGCCGCATGGCCCGCGAGGGCCTTCTATGTTGCACGTATCTCCTGCTGTCACCAGGCCCGCCAGGGCCACCGATACACGTACGAACAGTACCTGTCGCTGCCGTACGAAGAATCATGCTACGAACTTTGCCTCGTCAAAGCTGGCTTTGATGGTGGTGTGTGCAGCCAGGGAGCTGGATGTGGTGCTTGGATTCAGATTGGATTGCGTTCTCGTTTCCCATCTCTCTTCTATGTCCTTCTTCTTGAGCCAACTCACTCTTCAAGGATGTATATGTTTGTTTCTTTGCTCTCCAAGACGGGTCCACGGTGACAGACACTGAACTCTCCGCTGCTGAGTGCGTTATCGGAGCACTCCCACGGGTTCTGCAGGCCTATTTTAGCGATAAGTTGTGTGATTGATGATTCTCATTTGTGTTGTTGCCTTCATGCGTGCACACATTTGTGTTGATGTACACACTCCTTATAAGAGCTGCCAGAGGCTACCGCCTAAGCCGCCCCCCACGCGCTTGGCGTGGTGAGGCTTTCGCCTTAGCCGCTCGGTGGCCCGCGTTTGGCGCGCCCGCCCGCCTCGGACTGGACGGGGCCTTAGGGCCCGTGTGTCCGCGAAACGAAAAACCAAGGTTGACGGTTTACCGCCGGCGCCCAGTAACGAAGAGCTGTACAAGGTAAGAGAACACACCCGAAAGCTTTCCTGGCGGGCCCTCGGACGCTCTCGTGAAGCGCTTCTGGGGCTCTGGGGGCTTCCCTGCAGCGTTTCTGAAGCGCTGCCCGGAACGCTTCCACGCGTGCCTGCACGCGTGCAGGCTCGCGTGGACGCGTGCCCGAAGCGCTCCCGGACCCGCTGCGACGTTTTACAAGTCGCTGCGGGGGTTCTGGAGCGGCGAAGATGGATGGCTGGCAGGCACCACCACCGTCCAGCTTCTAATCTAAAGCCCTCTAGCTCTCAGAGAGCTCTCCGGGAATCTCCGCCGCTCCACGATCCTCGCAGAAGTACCTCGTAGAGCTTTTCGGCATCGATGAGCTAGAGGAATTCCGGCGCGGGTGGAGCTAGTTGGTCGACCCGGCCAGATAGGACAAAGTGACAACTTTTGGGTGGTTTTGCGAATATTCGAAAGATATTTGACCATTCATTTTGAGAAAGCAGATTTTTCACACTTGTAAACGACTATGAGGGCCTCGCTGTCCTAATATGAGCTCTGTAGGCGCAAATTTACTATCGAAAGACTTGGGGGAACCAACTTTGTGTCAACATGGAAAAAATGAACGTTCAATTTTTCGAGAAATGCTTCCAGAAGCTCTCACTTCCGACTCTGAGCACTCTCACGCGTGAAAGCAGCTCTACGAGGTTCCCGGCGGTGACCAGGTTGACGGTTCACCGCCGGCGCCAGTTCGCCCGTCCCGGCAGCTGGTTCGGGAGTGCTTCTGGCACGCGCCCACGCGTGCCTGCACGCGTTCACGCGTGCCTGCACGCGTGCAGGCATGCGTGGAGGCGTTCCTGGCAGCGCTTCGGAAGCGCTGCAGGGGAGCCCCCGAGAGCTCTCCAGGAAAGATTTCCCGCCCCCGAGGGTCTCTTACCTCGTAGAGCTCTTGGTACCTCGTAGAGCTCTTCGTTATCGATGGGCTAAGAGGAATTTCGGCGCGGGGTGGAGCTAGTACCTCTTAGAGCTCTTCTTACATCGTAGGCTCTTCGTGATCGATGAGCTAGGGGAATTCTGGCGCGGGATGCAGCTAGTTGGCCGACCCCACCAGAAAGGACAATGTGTGACTTTGGGTCGGGTTTTTCCGGAGAGCTCTCTGAGAGCTATGGGGTTTTAGATCAGAAGCCGGGCGGTGGTGGTGCCTGCCAGCAGCCCATCCTCGCCAGTCCAGAATCCCCGCAGAAGGTTGTTTGACCCAGCAGCTGGTCCGGGAGCGCTTCCGGCATGCGTCCACGCGCGCCTGCACGCGTGCAGGCAAGCGTGGAAGCGTGCCTGGCAGTGCTGCAGAAGGTCCCGGAGAGCTCTCTGAGAGCTATAGGCCTTTAGATTAGAAGCCGGGCGGTGGTGGTGCCTGCCAGCAGCCCATCTTCGCCGGTCCAGAATCCCCGCAGAAGTTTGTTTGACCCGGCAGCTGGTCCGGGGGCGCTTCCGGCATGCGTCCACGCGCGCCTGCACGCGTGCAGGCACGTTTGGAAGCGTGCCTGGCAGTGCTGCAGAAGTTCTGCAGAAGCGCTTGAGGAGAGCTTTCCAGAGCAGGGCAAGCAAGCTCCCGGGTGTGAGTGCCTCTTTGCTCTCCGGTGCTTTCCGCGTTTTTCCCGGAAAGCTCTCTGAGAGCTAGAAGGTTTTAGATTAGAAGCTGGGCGGTGGTGGTGCCTGCCAGCAGCCCATCTCCGCCGCTCCACGATCCTCGCAGCAACTCGCCCGTCCCGGCAGCGGGTTCGGGGGCGCTTCCGGCACGCGTCCACGCGTGCCTGCACGCGTGCAGGCACGCGTGGAAGTGTTCCTGGCAGCGCCTCAGAAGCGCTGCAGGGGGGCCGACGGAGCTCCAGAAGCGCTTCACGAGAGCGTCCGAGGGCTCGCCAGGAAAGCTTTCCGGCGTGTGTTCTCTTTGCTCTCCGGGTTTTTCCCGGAGAGCTCTCTGAGAGCTAGATGGTTTTAGATTAGGAGCCGGGCGGTGGCGGTGCCTGCCAGCAGCCCATCTTCGCCGGTCCACGATTCACGCAGCGACTCGTCCGGGGTCGCAGCCCGTCCGGGAGCGCTTCCGGCAAGCTTCCACGCGCGCCTCCACGCGTGCAGGCACGCATGGAAGCGTGCCTGGCAGCGCTTCAGAAGCGCTTCAGGAGAGCCCCCCTGAGGCCTCCAGGAAAGATTCCCGGAGAGCTCTCTGAGAGCTAGAGGGTTTTAGATTAGAAGCTGGACGGTGGTGGTGCCCGCCAGCAGCCCATTTCCGCCGCTCCACGGCCCTCGCAGCAATGCCTGCACGCGTGCAGGCACGCGTGGAAGCATTCCTGGCAGCGCTTCAGAAGCGCTGCAGGGGGGCCGACGGAGCTCCAGAAGCGCTTCACGAGAGCGTCCGAGGGCTCGCCAGGAAAGCTTTCTGGCGTGTGTCTTTGCTCTCCGGGTTTTTCTCAGAGAGCTCTCTGAGAGGTAGTGGGTTTTACATTTGAAGCCGGATGGTGGTGGTGCCCGCCAGCAGCCAATCTCCGCCGCTCCACGATCCGCGCAGCAACTCGCCCGTGCCGGCAGCGGGTCCGAGGGCGCTGCCGGCGCGCGTCCACGCGTGCCTGCACGCGTGCAGGCACGCATGGATGCGCGCCTGGCAGCGCTTTCGAAGCGCTTCAGGGAGGCGCCCCAGAGCTTTCCAGGAAAGATTTTCCCGGATAGCCTCTTGGGCTAGATAGGGTTGTCAGAAGAGAAGCCGGCGGGTGCGCGTGCGCCGCCGTACCCCTCCGCCCACCGCTCCACGTTCCCTTCTGTGACTCCCGGGGTCTGCAGCGTGTCCCGGAGCGCCTGTTCCAATACGTTTCCGTAGAACGTGTTCCAAAGGCTTCGCGAAGCACCCCAGACAGCGCGCTTTCGCGCGCGCAGCGTGCCCCCACGCGTGTAGACACGCGTGAAAGCGCCGCAGTCAGCGTGTCAGAAGCGGTTGCCTTGCGCAGTCTCCAGCGCCTCCGCGTACGTCACTCCATGCGCAGACAGCGTGCGCCTGAGGCGAGCGCGGGGGCACGCGCGGCGCCGGGGGCACGGCCCGGTGGCGCTTGCGCGACGAGACCTGTGCCGCGTCTCTCGTTTGGCAATCCGGGTTTTGGACAACAACAGGTTCCGTCCCCGAGGGTCTCTTCGCTCTCCGGGTTTCCTTTGTAGAGCTCTTCGGTATCGATGAGCCAGAGGAATTCGGGCGCGGGGCGCAGCCAGTTGGCCGATTCCCGGAGAGCTTTTCGAGAGCTGGAGGGTTTTAGATTAGAAGCCGGACGGTGGTGGTGCCCGCCAGGAGCTCCGCCACGGCGGTCCACGTCCGCCGCGGCAGTTCGCCTGCCGAGCCGGCAGCCCGTCCGAGAGCGCTTCCGGCATGCGTCCACGCGCGCCTGCGCGCGCGCAGGCACGCGTGGAAGCGCTCCTGGCAGCGCTTCAGAAGGGCTGCAGGAGAGCCCCCCAGGGCCCTCCAGGAAAGATTTCCCGTCCCCGAGGGTCTCTTCGCTCTCCGGGCTTTGGACGCTACCAATGGACGCTGCCAAGATGGACGCTACCAAATGCTGCGGAAGCGCTTGAGGAGAGGTTTTTAGAGCAGGGCAAGCAAGCTCCCCGGTGCGTGTGCCTCCTTGCTCTCCGGTGCTCTCTGCTCGCTCTATGGTGATAATTTGACACACGTTGAGCCCGATATTAATCAGGTGCAGTTTCTTCAGACACTACGGTGCCCGAATCATTGACGGGGCGGTAGGGCTGCGACTGAGACCGTGGTCGCAACCTGGAATGTGCAGAAAATATCCGACGGTCAAGTACCCAACCTGGTCGCTGCATGTGAAGCCAGGTCAATTCAAATGGTGTGCCTGCAAGAGTGTGAGCATACCAGTGCGAATACTTTTAACAGATGTGGATGGGAGATTCACTATAGCTCCTGCTCCAAGGCGGCGGTTGCATGGTGCAGGGATTGGGCACCACATGTGATTGCTCGACGGAGTGGGGTACGATTTGCGTGTGTTGAATTCAGGGGTGCTCTAGTTACATCAGTGTATCTACCATGTGTGATGCGTGATGTGGACCACTTGGGGGAATATTTAGATGTACTTACTAAGTGCAGTGTTACTATGTTTCAAACTACACAGGCTGGAGTCATACCATGGGTGGGGATGGATGCTCAGACGGAACTTGAACCAGATATGCTGGGAATGACGGGAGGAGGTCTTATGCAGGTGGACGGGAGGAGGGAGGAGGCGAACTACCATGCAGAGAGGAGGGACATGCTTATGAGGTTCATGAGTACTTGGGGGATCTGTGCGGCGAACACATATGGAGACCGACGTATCACACATATACCGTACTGTTCCACACATGTGCAGCGTGTGCTTGACTATATACTCATCCCTACACGTTGGTGCGCGGATGAGGCAAGAGCTCACCAGGAAATGAGATGCCAGGTCCAGTTTGTGGAACCCATCAAAGCTACGCCAGGTATACGTGCAAAAGCCAGTGCCTATAGTGATCACGCTCTGGTCTGGGTAAATCTCAAGACGACGGAGATCAGGCGCCCAGCTTTGCCACCCCGCCCTGTGTCCATGGTTGGCTGGCAGCCGACGGATGACACGGCGAGGAACATGTTTCGTGTGCTTGCGGATGTGTCGATTGAGGGACTTGCATCGGACACGGTAGGGACGGACCTGCAGCAGGTCGGACGGGTACTCTTGGAGACGGCAAAGCTTGTGGACCACACTAAGGGGCGCCCCAACTGCAAACCTATTCAGAGGCCCAGGGAGCTCATAGAGGTGGAGTCTGCCATCAGGCGTGGGGCCCTTGGGAATACTCGTAAACAACTGCTGCGTAGGAGGAAGACCCTTAGGAGACAGCATAGGAGGAACCAACTCCTGCAGGACCACAGGGGATCCAGTAAGA